AATAACAAGATTCTACACAGAAAGAAGAAATTGGATTTAGCTTAACTAGATTGTATCGATACAGTACCTACCTTCAGGCAACTCAATTCGGGATAACATCACCAAGTATAAATGGTAAAGCCTTGAGCTCCCGTTGTTTCGTTGAATGTACCCTTCGTTTGAGTAACAGACTGAATGCACTTTAATGTATGAGGAGTGTGGTGGGTGCAACTGGGAATGGGGGAAGATCACTTTTGTCATTGAAATGGGGAGGAAGAGGTATCAAGCTAAAATTGTCTAAAATATATATATCTAAACGTATTTACGTGAATGCTATACTGCTGTATCTTTTCCAGGTAAAAGTATTTTCATAGGATTCCTTATTTGGTTAACATGTTTCTTTTTAGGTTATGCCATATGTTTTAATTTAATCACCTATGTTTCTTCTACCTATATCGCAATCCGAAATACACTTATTAATGGGGTTTGAATTAATTGGATTTTTTCTCATATTGATATTGTAGTTTTGGGATGTATCTTTCGAGTAGCGAGCATTAAAACAGTCCTATCGTTGAAGTACAGTTCTCTTATGAAGTGCTAAAACGAGTTCACCAACCTATGATTGATATGTTCTGCTTATCTGAAACTAAGCTAATACATGATCTGTAAGATCAGACGTTCTGCAATGTAATATGTGAAATATCGGAGGTAATCGGTAATTGCATTTGTCGTGTCTTCTCTATTACCGTACATTTTTGCTACCGTCCTGACAAATTGATCTGCTCTGATTACATGAAATAGAGAACTTACTAATGCGCAATCAACTTTAAAGTGCCTTTTAATTTATATTTTATGTTTGATTGTTTCTTGATATTTTTGTTTCCGTTTTTGTAGTATATTGGTGCGTCAAAGACCCAAATATGTTGCGCTCAAGTCACGATGGCGGGAATGAGGTGGAAAGCACGATGTTTGATCAATCGACGCTTACACTCACCTTGAGTGTTCATTAGTATCTTTCTGAAAGCTGATCATGAATTTAGTTAGAAGTTAAAAAGTTTGGTTAGAAGTAAATAGAATTTTGCTTGTCCTTTTGAATACAATATAAATCTTCTAACTGAGTTGAAATCATGTTGGTTAAGATTGCAATGTGTTGATAAACAGTAAAAGGGAATATTACATTTTTTTAGATTGTTCGTTGGAGGGAATATTACATTAATAAATAGCCAAGTAGCCACTTCAAAATGTTTAGTCTAATTTTGAAGGATTTTTAGCTAAAATTTAATATTGATGTTTTAGGAATTGGAGGACTGTAGATGAAGGCTAAGTTTGATTGATTCCAGTTTTAACGTATGTAAATATTTGGAAACTGTGTGTTTTTGGCCATGAAAGTGCTCTAAATGCAGGGGAAACCATTTTACATTTTAAAGGAACAGGTGAATAGATGGTCTCAAGTCAAAAACAGCGAATCGTTAAATGGGAAATGAAAGCAATTAGAGTTAAATGTTTAGAAATATTTGCCCGGAAATGACTGATTAGCAGAACTTACAATGGCAGTAGGATTATGGCTACGATGTTATCCTATATACTACTTACACACCTGCGCATGCGCATTCTTCTTTGAGCTCTTTCTTTTATGTCTAAGAACATGTGTACCAAATTTGGTTCCAATCCGTTCAGCTGTTTAGCCGGTACAGACAGATAGACCGATCGATATCGATGTTTTGTTTGATTCGGATCCCTGGTGCTCTAAAACGTGTATTTCCGTCAAGAAAGCGGAGGGTCATTTTTTACCCCAATGCAATACCCGTCTTACTAACGTGCGGGTGGTAAAACACACTAAAGTTGTTTTTTTGCGCTGTTCAATGGTTTTTGCTCGCTGATGATATAGCTTCCTTGACCTTTTCGTGATATTAACACTTTGGTATGTGAGTGAAAAGCTAATGTTCCGCTTCAGCCATGAAGTATTCTGCTCCATTTCCGCGACACAATATTCTATCATAAGTTCGTTATTTCCTCTCATTAGTCGCTCGAAGGTAATTTTAGTGGACCGTTGTCCGCTATGTTCGATGCATTACGATTTTGGGTCAATCGATAAAAGCAGGTAACTCCGGAAAGTGTTGTCCATCAATTATCGACACGTCCCGAGTGTTGGTCAAAGACGACAGTGATAGATCATTAAATCCCAACATTATGTATTCTGGACGACGTCCAGCATTAACGAGCGAGATTTTGTATGGTTGCCAAATGATTGTGTTTCGGGGTAACAGTTTAAGTTTCTATTGACCGTTTAATTATGAGGGAGAATGTGAACACTAAATACAAATTTTGCGATAAAGTAGATACAAACAAAACCGTATACTCCGTACATGTTAGCGCATATAGAAGTCTGGAGAGATTAATTAATTTTGCTTGTGACATTGTATGCAAGGGAAGCAGAGCTTGTAATTTTAAGTGGTTTATGTCTGTAAAGTCACTTTGGTTTACTGTAACCGTAACCGCTCAGTCTGCCCCGCAACTGTCGAGGTCCGCATTTTATATTATCTCTCTACCCACCACACCTCAATCAAAACGCAAACTTTACCCCCATTGTATTTGCTAATAAAGTAGGGGTTGTAAAACTCGAAATATTATTCCGAATTAATAAACGGTTCGTGGAGTGGCATAAAAATGGTCGAAAGGAAACCGATAAATACCGATGGGAGTAGAAAGCTTCCCTTTAAGAAAATTCTATTGGGTTCTTTATCTCGAAAATAAATTACCTTTGTTCTCTCTCAGGGTTGAACAAGTTCATTTGCTGAACTAATTGTCCACGTTTAGATCTCATAAATGAGACAACCAATCTTAACAAGTCTCTAATTAAACGTTCTTATGCACATAATTGCAATTAAACGTCTTTTACCTCCATTGTCAGCGTCGACTTTAATTTCGATAGAAATGAAAGAAAGGTTTATGATTCACAACTTAAGCTTGTCACAGGTGTGAAATAACGTCTGGAAACTGGGAATATTCCGAATTACTTCTAGTAGTTCTCTGCCCGTTTAATAACGAAGGTGGAAACAGGTGTCTCAATTTTCACAGTATATAACATTCTGGATCTTTACAGGGTTTAAAGTGGACGATTGTGCAATGAAATCTAAAGACTAGCCGTGCGTGTCAGAACATCTAAAAGAAAAAAAAAGGAACTGGTTAATGAAGCAGCATTCATTGCACTGCTGAATTCCGTTGGCACATAATCTGTGTGAGACAATTAATGCAACAATAATACATTCTCTGTACTGAACTCCCGGAAAAACTTTAACACCGATTTGTACTGATTTGAGACGTTAGATTCTGCCAGGGTTCCATAGTATGCAAAGGATTATTGTTTTGTAAACTTATTGAAGGAAGGTAACGATTCGTTGTTTTAAATGTAAAAAGGCAGGACACAAAGGAAACGTGTGTCCGAAAAACAAGAAAGAGAGCACGATGGTCGTGGGTATTTCTGTCTCAGCTTGTCAACGCTTGTAAACGACCCAAGCAGGAAATGGGGAATGGGGAGAGTAGTGCAACCACTCACTTATGTAACGGACCGCAGAATTTCGAGGAAATTTTGTACACATGACGCGACTGTCACCACCGGTAACGAAGGTAAAGTGCGTTTTATCGCGGACGCAAATGCTACCGTGACAGACGTCACGTTACAAACCCACTACCCCCGAACTTGAGAACTAATCTCTTATCTGTTAGTGAAGTTCCAGGAGGACAAGATTTCGGTACCCAATACTCCAGATAGATGTTGTTTTGATTTTATTCTATGGTCTATTTAGAAATATTTGCGCGAGATACTTTGGTAAATTTATCTCCGGTCATTAGGATAAGAGTGTTATCGCTGTGTAAAATTAAGATAAGTAGGTTTAGTTGATAAGAAAAAAAGAAAAATTTAAGTGGAAGAGAAGCGGAAACTTAGAGAGAGAAGAATGTTTTAAATAGCAGAGACAGACGTGAATCATGGATTGTTTGGTGGTGGCCGATAATCGTTGCTTGTTTTGGTTTGGTGGACGTTAAAACGTAGCCGCATATTGTTTTGGTAATTGGCAGTTGTTTCCGTATTTGAGCGTATTATTGCAAGACAGTCCGTCATGCCAGTTGTACAGTTTTGTAGAAGAAACCTAGTGGTTGGTCTAAGGCCGGTTATGCACGGCGTTATACGTCGCGCGCTTCGGAACGCGGAAATTGGCGGGTCATTCACGCATTTCTATCACGAACGTGCGTATGACACTTCGGTTAATTTTACGCGTTTTTTTACAAGAAGTTGTACTCGTAGTGCTGACTAGTTGTTAACAAATATAGTGATTCATATATACAATTTGGATCAGAAACCGCGTAAAAGAAGGCGCTGATCAGTAGTTCCCAACAGTGTCAAAATGATTGTCCGAAGAGGCATCCAATTCCGTAGCGGGTTCTCGGATTCTGTTATTTTAACACGTCGTGCAAAATGTAAACTCGTAGCCGGAGTGACGAACAGATCGAGGCGTTAGAAGTTAAATTAAAGTAGTGAAGTTTTCATAAAGAAGTTAGTCGAAGTGTTGAGTGTATCGCGCAGTTATCGCATAAGGAAGGCTTTCTGTAAGATATTCAAGAATCAGTTAAAGCAAGTTTTCCACCATCAAAGAGCCAACATTACATCTGTAATGACAATGAATCCAATGTTGCTTAAACCGAAATTTAACTGAAGTTCCCGAAGTCATTTAATGAAAATCGCATTTACGACCACATATTAGGATTTGGATAAAGCAGTGCAGATAGTGGATAAATTTATTCAAGAAGTGGGACGCGTAGAAAGATTATTGAGGATAATGCAACTTATTTTAATGACAGATTTAGATTAGCTTTAAGGGAAAGAAAAATTAATTAAGAATTTTGTCTAATTAGACATCCACAGGGGAATCCTTCGGAACGTTCAAGAGGTTTTAAGTGTTTTAGGTTGTATAATGAAGCACACATAATTTTATTTAATGAAGATACTGAGCGACCACCGGTTTATGTAATGTTTGGGATTTTTACAGAAAGAGAAAGACCATAGGAAAAGATATAAGGGGGGAAGGAAAATTAAAGCAAGAATGGAAAAAGGTTAGAAAAAAATACAGGATGAAGGTAGAATCCAGGTGGGTGCGGCGGATGTCCAGACGTTGTAAGATAAGGTAAATTATTTTTTGTGTCACAATTGTAATTAAGGTTTCTTTAAGTAATTCTTTCAATCGATCGCTTGTTGCGTGGTATTTGTGCTTTGGAATTGTGCAGTTGGTCAAGGCTGCTGAGATTTCTCAAATTCTATAAAATTATGGTCCTATCGAGATTTTTCGTAGTAGCGGATGCTGGGCGTGCTCTGAAAAAAATAATCAACCGTTTGTCATTCCACATAGCAACGGACATGCCCTTAATGGCACAAATTCATTAATGCTTTCATGTGTTCCTTTAAAGCTTAAATGGCTAAGAGTAAATTGTACTCCCTGAAATGAATCCCTCTGAATTGTTTTTGGGCAAAATTTAATCTTCGACTGTTCTTTAGGCATTACCTTTTGTGTTAGTTTAGAAATTGGTAATTCAGATGAAAAGCAATTTTCGTTGTGATTCATTCGCCATGCATTTTCATTAATCGACAGAATCTCTAAAAGCTTACTCTTCATACAAGATTTCAAGTTAGCGTTTAATTTCCTTCACTAACTTCTAATAAAAGTGCGAATAAGTCCAAGCATTATTTCATAGTGTTTAATTCTTTTGCAAACTTTCTTAGCTATTTATCAACAAAGTTGCCCAGAGAAAATATCTACTCTACTTGTCCCCCCACTCTTTTGTCATATGAACAATTTTAATTTAGTTCACATTTTCGCATGTTGACGACCAGCGCCACCGTCCGAACAACCAATAGCATTACAATAAATTCGCAGGATAAAATATGTAGATTGCTAATCATTTGCACATCAGGTCTCTTTTCATGAAGTGCGTAATGCTAACCATCGTCGGGCAACTCATGCAGTAGCTAATAAAGAATGTCCGTACCCGTGGTTTGGCGCATTTTCACTTTCAATAGTAACCCTTGTTAGAATGGTGTGATTAAGCGAAACCTTGAGAGTATACCCTGTCCCAACATTCATTAATCAGTCTATTTTTGGACATAATATAATGATTAAAATTCCACCCTTTTCCTTTTTTTTAGTCTTATAAGGGTTTTTATTATACGTAAAGTACGACAAAAACGGCCATTCGGACAACGGCATATTTTCATATCCACGAAAAACCGTATTTTTAATTTTAGTGTAGGGTCGCAACCACTTGTGTCGGGTAATGCAAAAAATTACTCGACAAAGGTTGGGCCATGATAAAATTACTACTAAACGCTTCTGGAACAGGTGAATGTTTTGCTTGGGCTGTAATTTTTTGTAGGCAATTCGAAAAGCACACAAAAACTGAAATACTCTCGTTATGAAATGAATCGTTACCCGGGAACCTTGCGGATGACAATAGTTTCCCATTCGGTTTCCGGGAATGGCTCTAAAGCCGTTTCGAGTAGCGAATTTCCATCGGTTATGTTCAACAATTTGAATACTAACAGCCTAACCCGATGTATTCCTAAACTGTTTATTTTCCTGATCTTTCAGTCGAGAGAAAAAGTGCTGTAAACTTCAATGCGTTCAGCTTAGTAGTGGAAATAGTTAATTTGACTTACCTGAGCCGCAACGTGCCCTTGCTTTAGTCGTGGCAAATCCGTATGACTCCAAGCGCTGTTTGACCAAGGCGTCACGTTTCTCAAATCCTCTCCGAATTTGAAGTCCTTCAGGCGATTATGCAAGAACTTGCGAATATTCCACGGAAGATCGTTGTGTCCGTCAATCAGAGGCACTTCCTGTAGTAATCTGGAGGCGAACTCCAGGCGTTCTTCCAAAGAGGCTCCGGCGCTTATTTTTAAAGCGATCGGTACACCAACACCCGCAGCAGCGGCAAGAAAAAGAACCGTCACAATGATCCACCAGTGTCTTGTTGACAAGTCCATTCCTAAAACAATTGTGTGTCGATTAGTGTTTCCTCATTCCAGTTAGTGCGTACACAAAAATTTGATTCTTAATATATTTCTAAATTACAGGTGTTACGGATTCGATACGAAGTTTTAGGAAATTTTACAAAGTACGCTGTACAATAAGAGAGGTGGTCTAATACCATGATTGTTTCAATGTAAAAAAGAGGCGGTAAGATTGGGTTCAGTCTATCACACTTTAGCTGATGCCAGTGTTGTGGTGTTTTCCTACGAAAATCACGATCACCGCATCTCTCTCACATATATCTCACAAACTGATTTAACATACAAATATTGGCTCGTATGAATAAAAGTAAGCAAATGCTTATACTTGCAAAATTCAAAGTAAATACTCGTAAGTGCTCCTTCACACTGGGCGACTTGCGTTGCGTTGCTGAGCAGCAGGACAGGACGCAGTGCAGCGCTGCTAAACAGACCAGTATAAAGGGGCACTTACGAGTATTTACTTTAAATTTGGCAAGTATAAGCATTTGCTTATTTTTATTCATACGGGCCATTGTAAAACATTTTGTATCATACTGCTCTTTTTTCTACTAAAAAGCCATACAGATTTTAATTAGAATGTATACATTCAAATAAAAGCAAATGTCGATCACTTGATTTGTTTGACCTGACATACGTTTAGATAGATGCCGGCTCATGTTGCTAGGTAACATTTTCAGTCCCCGATTTAGCAGACCCCAATGACTCTATTTATTGTAGGCGGACTTATTTTATCCATCCCATCATTTTCCGAAGGTAATATTTGATATCCTCAGTACAACTCTAGAACGAATTTCCTGACTGATCTATTCTTAGATCAGAAAATAGAACGACAAAAGGAAAAAAGCCACATTACAACACTTCCTCTTCTATTTACCTCATTTCTTCATCTCTTGTCCCAACTTGCAGTCCACTTCTTAATTCTCTAGTTAAAATACGCACAATTCTATTATTATTATTATTGTTAAAAGCTTAAAAAATTCATTAATTTCATTATTTTTCTGTACCAATTTTATCATTGTTTTGTGACGTGCCAAGTTAGACATGATACAGCAACAGCAATTATAGGGGCGGACGTATATTATAGACCGTTTTGTGGTGAATTTTAATTTACAAGAGTGCTGAATGATATCGAAAAAAATTATCTAAACGCGCACCTGCAATAAAATCTTTCTATAAAATTGAAAGGCTGGTTGCGTTGAAATATAAAACTAATTAATTTTTAGCGACAAGCGCAAACCTTATCTACGACCGGAGAAAAACATGAGATAAAACTTTCAAATATGACACAAATAATTTTCCTTATATTACAGCACTGCATCCACCTGGATTATATCTTTATCCCGTATTTTTTTCTAACCTTTTTCCATTCCTGTTTAGCTTTTCTTCCCCCCTATTTGACTTAACCCAAGGTCCCTCTGGGAAAAGTGCAAGCATTACATAATCCGGTGATTTTTTAGTTAATCTTTCCTCACATAATTAATTATCCACCATGTACAGCTCTTCTCCCGTCTTGCTTCTATTAATAAATCTTCTAATTTACATCCTCGAAACCGCTGCTTCTCAACTATCTTAAAAGTCATAACTCTTCCGCTTCTTGGCTCTCTTTTACCCTTTTCTATGAAAACAATATTGTATTTTCTTTCACTCGGTTTTTCCAAATCCTTCCCCATTCCTGTAGGTACTTGTGTCGCACTCAGTTGTTTGCCCACTGGAACTTCTTCTTGGTGCCTATGAACTTCCATTTTATGCTTACGATCTTTCTCTTCTTTATTTTTATGATTAATTACTTTACTTGTCATTGATGTTGTAAGCAGTATTGGCTTGGTTTTAATTATATTACGATGGTATTTCTAACGGAACATCCACTTTCGAACTAACGTCAAGTACTTTTACATCAACAACAGGCATCTTTACCAATATGATCGGTTCCACTTCAGCTGTTGGTGGGGGTGGTTTCAACCACTCTGATCATATTTCACATCAACTTTCAATTCCACTTCCTGTGCTTTATCAATCTTTTCCGGCGTCTTTAATCACAACAGGCTGTTCGCCAACCTTCTCCACTTTCCTCTCAACAACTAGGCTTACCACCTTCTGGTTCACCCCTCGCAGATGTCCACGTATTTCTTCTTCAATTTCCGCCTTTTCTTCCATAGTCTTAAGGATTTATTCGACAATTGCTGTAATACAAAGTGGTCACAGTGCCAGCGAAAAAGACCACGCATGCAAGCGCGCGATCAAAATAGATTAAAGAAACTCTTAATTACCTTGATACTGTCAATAATCCAAAAACCAGTCTTACACTGCAATTCCCAGTCAAAGGCCCACAAACACTAATCTGGCTTCTCAGGAAAGCAAATTTCTTCACTTCATAACACAACTTTTTCTCCGAATTCGATTAATCACCTCTAAACCGACGTACTTCAATCTCTTAGACCACTAACTAACAACGTCCTTCAATGAACTTATAATTACACAAACGCAAAGGCTTTAAGTACATCCGAAAATCGAGAAGCCGGAAGCACGGCTCCAACAAATGGACCCGACTCCACCTATAGTTGTTTTGGTGATTGGCAGATTTGCCGCATTTGAGCGTATTATTGTAAGACACTTCGTCTTGAAAGTTATAAATTGGTGTAGAAGAAAATTAATTAAGTGCTCTAAGAGATTTTTATTACGCCGTTAAAGTGGAATTAAAGAAGTCAAGTTTACAAAGAAGTTGTTGTTTCCCAGTATTTGTTAAATGGAGTGTTTCCACCATCAAAAAGCCAATATTATATCTGAAATTACAAAGAATCCAGTGTCGTTTATATCGAAATTTAAGTGGAACCAACGAAGTGAAGTTCGGTAGGTAACATCTGTTGGTTTTTGTGAAAATCGCAGCTACGACCGGGTATTTTGGATTATTAATTGTGTCAATAGATCGTTTGTTGCGTGGTAAGTGCACTTTGACCCTGATTGCTTGGTTTTATTTCAGTCTTATTAATTGATTTTGTCTAATAAATTTGTTTGACCTGTAAATGTTCTCTGTTGATGATGATTACCATTATTCATGTAGTAGGTAAATATCTCAAAAGCTGTAGAGGAAGTTACGACACGCAAGAGGTTTTTGTTACAGCGCAGCGCCAGCTCAAAATGCGTGGTTTGAAATTTCAAAATCTGGGAAACCAACCATTTGAGAATATATTTAAAGTTATTCAGAAGGCTCCAAATTTTTCAAGGAATTCCACTTGTCTCTAAGACATTTAACTTTCAAAGCCATAAAGAGGCTTCAAAAGTCTCCATACAGATCAAACAAAGCTAATTTGAGCGCTTTTCAAGGATCATCAGAAGAAGTCGTTTGTTTTTGTAGTCTTAAGGAACTTTTAACAGCACTTGCACTTAAAAATATTTATTAGTTCCTAAGAGCTTTTAATGGCCCCAAAATGTATTCCCGAGAATAGTCTTTGCGGCCTTTAGAGCCTTTAACACCTTTTAACAATTTTTAGAAGCTTTTAAAAATTGCTAGCAGCACCGATTTTCAAAGAGTGTTCCAAAGAGCTTATCTGTGATTTATGAGCATTTATTTAATAATACTTTCTAAGATGTTTTATGAACCTCTTACTTTTGTAGTTCTTTAAAACTATTAGGTTTTCAAGTGTCTCAAGATTTTCCATGAATCTGCAATGGGCTGCGGAGTCCTTGAGAAACTTTAAAATTTTTTAATGTCCACGAGAACCTTTGAGGGACTTTAGGAGTTTTTAAATCCTTTAAAAGCGTTTCGCTCATGTGGAGTCGTTAAAGGCCTTTAGAATCCTCAAAATTTAGTCTACCAAATTGCAAGATAGTCGAGTGTCTAATGTTGAACCCAGGCTGCGTCATATTACGCCAATAAGATTCTGTTCAAAGGTCCCTGAGACGTACAAAAAACGATCGGTCATTCTATGAGTCGTTTGAGAATACAAAAAACTCAAATATTTGAGTTTCTATAGAGAGTGTAACGCATAGTATGTAAAAATTGAGCGGTTTAAAATACCAAATACCACTGATCTACGAAGTGCGACTAGTTCCAACGTTACATGTGGGAAAAAACCTAACGAAGCAACTCAGATTTTTGCCCCTACAAAGAACGCGTCACCATCTTGCGGTTTATCGATCCTAGGGATCTCTAAGTTTTGCAGATTGTTGTGAATTTCGTGATTCTTGAATTAATTGAATTAATGACTGTGATTTTTTAAATCTTATTAATTCTTCATATTCTTGAGGTTACTGCCGCTCTTGACAATTCCAAGATCTTTTGTCATTATTGTGATTCTGAAGGATCGTGGGAGTCATCACCAGTTATCGAGAGTGAGGGGTCTTGAAGTTCTTGACATTCTTGGGGTTTTCGAAGTTTTAAACTATTTACATTTTTCAAATTTTTTAAATTCATCACCATAATATTACTAGAATTTTCCAGTTACTTGGGATACTTGGGATCGTTAAGATCTTGCATCATCGAATTTAAAGTGAGCAAGTTCAGGAAATAATCGACGGGATCGCTTACCGCCTACCGCCGCGCCGCCGGTGCCGGAGTGGTAGTCGACGGGACTGTAATCGCCGGGTTGACCGTGTCCGACATTAATTCAGAACTCACTCATTTTTCCTACGAGAGCTTATAGTTGGCCTGTAAACATTCAGGTTGGATAATTCGCCTTGGTGAATTTGCTAACCAGAATTCGGCTCAGGATGTAAGAAGAGATCATGGTAAGCGAGTTTCCGGGAATACTTCGTAGGTGAATAGAACCGATACTATTCCGGGCACAGTTTATCTTAACGAGATTTTTGAATGTATTGATAAGAGCTTCTTTTTCTGGTTGCAAAGAATCTCAGAAATTCACAAAACATGCGGTCCAACGAATGAAATAAATCCATTCAGCGAAGTTATCAACAGAACCGAGCTTGATTGCATAGGAGAAAGTACGCGATTAGGTAAACGTGTTTTAATAATGAAAAC